ATATATATATATATATATATATGTGTGTGTGTGTGTGTGTGTGTAAAGGGCTTGCTTTGTTTGGAAAAGAAAATTGATAGATAAAAATTTCTACAATTTTCATGTTCCAATTCTGGTCTTTTTATACTTTATAGCATTTTTATTATGACAGTGCCCTATCTTTGGACAGATAGAAAAAGTGAAATGTATCATATAGTTCGTGAATATAACACAAGTGGTACTCTTAATTAACTAAAAAAAAATACATATTTGATTTCATTGAACTTTTTCATTATTGGTATAATATTTTTATTTCAGAAAATTAAAATATTAATATGGGCTTTATGAATTTATATTTTCAATATGATAAAGACAATTGCTAATATAGAAAATGGCATACTATGTCATCAATTGTTGATATAATGCATTGTATCACTAATGTATATTAGCAATGAATGCTTAAGTTAATGTCATTTTTACTTTAAAATTAATATTTTCAGGGTTCTACTGTACTTCCTTTTAATTTTATGTCTTTACATCATACCATTACATTACTAATTACTAATAGTGGTAATTTTTATTTTTATTTTAATTTTAATTTCACTAAATGTCTAACCAAACTTTCTCTCCATGCAGCAAGGTTCCCTCTCAGTACACATGACCTTATCACCATGTTGTGGAGTATCATAGAAAATAAACAAACTCAAAACATGGGAATGTTTCCCATTAAAACTTGGTCAATAAACTTTTTAGAATGAGAAATGAATCCCATTTTAGCTTTTTTATTCTTGTTCACTTAACCAAATTACATAAACTTCCAGCAATAATATTAATTAATAAGGAGCATACGTTCTTCTTCTTATTATGTCTTGAGCTTGTGTTGGTTGATGTGCATTGATTAATTAAGGGGGGCATTAACCAATACAAGGCTATGATGATTGAACCTTATTAGCTTACACATAAATTTAAATTTTAAGCAACTAATAATAAAGCTTTTTCACATTAAATTATATAATCCACTAATTTTATAGTTGTAGAAGTCGATTATTCATTTTCTTATAAACGTTTATAGATAAATAAATCTATATATGTTAGAGTTTGATAGAAACCTTGAACTTGTATTGGTTAATGTGCATTGATGAGGGGGTATTAACCAATACAATTCAAAGGGATTCAATAACTTTATTTTCTCTCTAATTCATATCAATGCACTTTGTATATATATGCATTTTTAAAAACTGAGAAAGAAAGTTACTAAAATGATCCTATTTTTCATTATTTGAATGTATGCAGAGAAAACCTACAAAGATGTCTGTGCCTCAATTTGGAGGGTGGGAACACAAGGCAGCAGGAGTGCCCACTGATTATTCAATGGTGTTCAGTCAAGCTAGGGCAAACAGAAAGACTCAGAAAACTGATTTAGCTGAAGTCAAACGTTTAAGCCTTGGAAATGAAAGGGATAACCTAAATGGCAACCATCGTCATGGAAATGGACATGGTCATACACATGGTGGTCATACACATACACATGAACATGGGCATGCACATGGACCTGGACCTAGTCATAGGCATGACAAGGAAGATCCACCTTTCACAGTGAGTCCTTAATCCTTGGTTACTTTACTATTAAAGTTAGTTTATCATTTAGGTTTATTATTACTCTTTGAAATTTTCTTCTCAAGAATTTGACTTTCCAATTATTGTGTTATCTATGCTTTTTTCCTCTTTTTTTACAAATATTACACCTAGTTTTGATCCATGCCCCCTTAATCAATGCACATGGATCAATAGGGTGTAGTATTTTCAAAACTAACAAATGCAAAATGATTTTCCCTTTTTTCTATGTTATAATCTAAAAAAAATCCTCTTGACCCCAATATGATATAGTTTATGGACACTACAATAAATTACAAACCATAAATATAGAAATAAAAGGTACAGAAAAGGAAATGAAGAGATGTATAGAAGTTAAGGCAGAATGTTCGAAGGTAACAAAACAAACTATATAGTATGATTACCTCACTAAAAAAATGTCAAGTCCTATTAACTTCTATCAAAACAGGCTAGAAATCATTGCTACATTTGGGTGGATTAAAAAGCTACAAAAATGAGAGAAAAAAAAAAGAAAAAAATATTCTAATTTTTTCTTTGAAAAATTAACTTAAATTTAAAAATTTAGATAAAAAAATGTAGTATATTTAAATATGAATTAAATATGTTTTTAGTCCATAAACTTATACACAATTGGAATTCCTTCCTATCTCAAGCTTTGATAAATTTTGGTCTCCAAACTTTAAATATCAATGGATACAATTCTCTTAACCTAACAACATTAACGTTTTGCCTTAAATGATGTTTTGGACTTATATTTGAGTTGTTTATACTATTTGATATATTTTAATTAACTCTAATGTCAACTTTAAACATCATTTAACACATAAAAAAATAATTGTGTTAAAAGAACTATATTCATTCACTTTTAAAGTTTGGAGACTAAAATATATCAAATTTGGGACAATAACGAATTCCAATTTCAGGTATAAGTGTAGGGACTAAAAAATCATATTTAACCTTTTAAATATCTATTGAGAAGAAATATTCAAGGAAAAACTATAAATCAATATTTAAGAAAAGAAAAGAGTAATAACAAAGTTATGAAGAAGAAGAGAACTTTCTTATTGCTAACAAAATCATAACCTATAAAATTGGAAATTCTAATATAACAAGTTATTAATCCTATAATTCGTTATCCTATTGCACATAAATAATGAAAGATGATGGAATAAATATAAACACTTACTCTACTTAGCTAGATGTCAAGGCACAATATTTCCATCACCAAAAGCGAAATGAACAAGTTGAGTTAACTTCAAGTCATATAACCCTCTAGTTAGGATGATGAACATTTTCCATTACAAAATTACTATAGTCTTAATAGTTGGATTAACATTGATGTAGGTTGAAACGGAACTGAGAAAATTACCTTGACTATTCCAGAAGATATCACCGTAAGAGACACTATTAGAGTTACCACAAGAAGCACCATTTGTATTCCTTTTAGTAAAAATTGCTAAAGAAGGAAACCAATTGGCTTCAATTATCCTTAGTGCAAAAGAACGATAAATAAGAATTTAAAGAATAGAAAATCATTCATATCATTACATTTACATAATCTCCCTTAGAAGAAAACTTCAAATTTACTTTAGAAAACATTGACCAAAGGACAAATTTGTTATCAAATAGAACTCACTATACTCATCATGAGGTTTGCATTCATGATTTCTTTTAAATTTGAACTACTAAATTTAAGCCTCAAAAGGATAATAAAAAATAAATTTTTATTTTCTTCATCTTTACCATAAAAATTGAAAGAATATACCATTTAAAGACCACTTTTATACACAAATAGTCATTAATATGTAGCCTATTATCTATCAGACTCCAAAAAAAGAAAGAACAGTGTGGAAGATGGCTTAAGACCAAAATGTTTTATATCTTCAATTTTTTGTTGGATGGTGTACACATACAACAAAGACAAATTAAAAGAAAAACACCATTCTTATCTAGTTTTCAAAGTAGTTGTTATTTATGAACACTCTTAGAAAGTCAAATTTTATTCTATCTTAATATTACAAAATCGACTTGTATGGTAGGTTTGCATCCACTTGTATCCTATAATTCAAACATTTGTAGGCAATAAAGGGTCACTAACACATCCCCTCACATGAACGTCTGAGCACCTTGATCATCGAAATACAAGGTGTAGGCTATTATGCCATATTAGAAAATAAACATTAAGTCTAACTTAACCTCACAAAATCAGTTCATAATAAGGGTGTTACACTCACTTATCTATTATAATGTGGTTGTATATTTAGTCAATGCGAGATTTTCAAAACAACTCCTCATGTCAAGGACTAAGTATCTTATAATTTTGTCATATTCTTATTAATGTGGAATTTCTAACATAAGTCTTCACAATATGAACTGAACATCTCAACCATGGGGGCTCATTAGGCTTAACAAACTTTTCTCAAATAGACTCTGATACCATTTTAAAATATTGACTTTAAGCTTCAAAAAATTGACTTGTAAGATGAGGTATACATCAACTTATATAGATACCATTTTAAAATATTGACTTTAAGCTTAAATAAATTTCAAAAAATTGACTTGTAAGATGAGGTATACATCAACTTATATATTATAATTTAACCATATTTCTAGTTAACAAGGGATCTTTAACAAACACTTTCCTATAGAACCACGACTTTCTCATTTAAAATTAGAATTTTATGTCATATAGGTGGGGATTTTTTGAGATCATTCACCTTCAAAATCCTTTAAGTGGCAATAAGTTGATTTTTTTATCAACAAAAAAAAACATAAAAAATAAGTGTACTTGAGCTACCCTAATTCATATGCAAACTTTATCTGCAAAATTAAAAGAAAAGGAAGATATCCTTAAATTCCTTAACAAAAACTACCTGCCAACAAACTAAGATGAAACATTGATCCTCATCTAAGAATCAAGGACAATATTTTCTTGGTGAGAGACAAAGGTAGTTAAGAAATATTAGAACAAATCACATCATATAGTGCTTAGAATGCAGTTGTCACATGAACAAAGTTAATATGAATTTCTGTCGGACTCAATGTTCTTTGTTGTGCTGTTACAACCATTGTTGAATTCAACCTTGCTTCCTTCTTCTTAAGCTTCTAACTCATTGTTATATACACCAACTCCTAAACAACTCCATTAATGATTCGCATTTCTCCCTAGTCTATATCTATATAGAGAACAAAAACTCTAGACTATAATATCTAGGTGTTAATTCAAAAATTTCATAAGGAACTATGTTTGTTCATTCCTCATTCTTTTACCTGTTTTTCATTGACCAAGTTCTTTAATTATATTGTTCATGTTTGTTCCATCATCTCAAGGTTCCTTCTCTTCTTGCACCCTCTATCTACCAGTCTCCCACATAACGTTCAATTTTCTTCTTCTTATTGTATTCATTGTCAGCCTTGCATTTTACATTCTGGTATCATAAAATTCCTTTCTTATATNTTATCACCATGTTGTGGAGTATCATAGAAAATAAACAAACTCAAAACATGGGAATGTTTCCCATTAAAACTTGGTCAATAAACTTTTTAGAATGAGAAATGAATCCCATTTTAGCTTTTTTATTCTTGTTCACTTAACCAAATTACATAAACTTCCAGCAATAATATTAATTAATAAGGAGCATACGTTCTTCTTCTTATTATGTCTTGAGCTTGTGTTGGTTGATGTGCATTGATTAATTAAGGGGGGCATTAACCAATACAAGGCCATGATGATTGAACCTTATTAGCTTACACATAAATTTAAATTTTAAGCAACTAATAATAAAGCTTTTTCACATTAAATTATATAATCCACTAATTTTATAGTTGTAGAAGTCGATTATTCATTTTCTTATAAACGTTTATAGATAAATAAATCTATATATGTTAGAGTTTGATAGAAACCTTGAACTTGTATTGGTTAATGTGCATTGATGAGGGGGTATTAACCAATACAATTCAAAGGGATTCAATAACTTTATTTTCTCTCTAATTCATATCAATGCACTTTGTATATATATGCATTTTTAAAAACTGAGAAAGAAAGTTACTAAAATGATCCTATTTTTCATTATTTGAATGTATGCAGAGAAAACCTACAAAGATGTCTGTGCCTCAATTTGGAGGGTGGGAACACAAGGCAGCAGGAGTGCCCACTGATTATTCAATGGTGTTCAGTCAAGCTAGGGCAAACAGAAAGACTCAGAAAACTGATTTAGCTGAAGTCAAACGTTTAAGCCTTGGAAATGAAAGGGATAACCTAAATGGCAACCATCGTCATGGAAATGGACATGGTCATACACATGGTGGTCATACACATACACATGAACATGGGCATGCACATGGACCTGGACCTAGTCATAGGCATGACAAGGAAGATCCACCTTTCACAGTGAGTCCTTAATCCTTGGTTACTTTACTATTAAAGTTAGTTTATCATTTAGGTTTATTATTACTCTTTGAAATTTTCTTCTCAAGAATTTGACTTTCCAATTATTGTGTTATCTATGCTTTTTTCCTCTTTTTTTACAAATATTACACCTAGTTTTGATCCATGCCCCCTTAATCAATGCACATGGATCAATAGGGTGTAGTATTTTCAAAACTAACAAATGCAAAATGATTTTCCCTTTTTTCTATGTTATAATCTAAAAAAAATCCTCTTGACCCCAATATGATATAGTTTATGGACACTACAATAAATTACAAACCATAAATATAGAAATAAAAGGTACAGAAAAGGAAATGAAGAGATGTATAGAAGTTAAGGCAGAATGTTCGAAGGTAACAAAACAAACTATATAGTATGATTACCTCACTAAAAAAATGTCAAGTCCTATTAACTTCTATCAAAACAGGCTAGAAATCATTGCTACATTTGGGTGGATTAAAAAGCTACAAAAATGAGAGAAAAAAAAAAGAAAAAAATATTCTAATTTTTTCTTTGAAAAATTAACTTAAATTTAAAAATTTAGATAAAAAAATGTAGTATATTTAAATATGAATTAAATATGTTTTTAGTCCATAAACTTATACACAATTGGAATTCCTTCCTATCTCAAGCTTTGATAAATTTTGGTCTCCAAACTTTAAATATCAATGGATACAATTCTCTTAACCTAACAACATTAACGTTTTGCCTTAAATGATGTTTTGGACTTATATTTGAGTTGTTTATACTATTTGATATATTTTAATTAACTCTAATGTCAACTTTAAACATCATTTAACACATAAAAAAATAATTGTGTTAAAAGAACTATATTCATTCACTTTTAAAGTTTGGAGACTAAAATATATCAAATTTGGGACAATAACGAATTCCAATTTCAGGTATAAGTGTAGGGACTAAAAAATCATATTTAACCTTTTAAATATCTATTGAGAAGAAATATTCAAGGAAAAACTATAAATCAATATTTAAGAAAAGAAAAGAGTAATAACAAAGTTATGAAGAAGAAGAGAACTTTCTTATTGCTAACAAAATCATAACCTATAAAATTGGAAATTCTAATATAACAAGTTATTAATCCTATAATTCGTTATCCTATTGCACATAAATAATGAAAGATGATGGAATAAATATAAACACTTACTCTACTTAGCTAGATGTCAAGGCACAATATTTCCATCACCAAAAGCGAAATGAACAAGTTGAGTTAACTTCAAGTCATATAACCCTCTAGTTAGGATGATGAACATTTTCCATTACAAAATTACTATAGTCTTAATAGTTGGATTAACATTGATGTAGGTTGAAACGGAACTGAGAAAATTACCTTGACTATTCCAGAAGATATCACCGTAAGAGACACTATTAGAGTTACCACAAGAAGCACCATTTGTATTCCTTTTAGTAAAAATTGCTAAAGAAGGAAACCAATTGGCTTCAATTATCCTTAGTGCAAAAGAACGATAAATAAGAATTTAAAGAATAGAAAATCATTCATATCATTACATTTACATAATCTCCCTTAGAAGAAAACTTCAAATTTACTTTAGAAAACATTGACCAAAGGACAAATTTGTTATCAAATAGAACTCACTATACTCATCATGAGGTTTGCATTCATGATTTCTTTTAAATTTGAACTACTAAATTTAAGCCTCAAAAGGATAATAAAAAATAAATTTTTATTTTCTTCATCTTTACCATAAAAATTGAAAGAATATACCATTTAAAGACCACTTTTATACACAAATAGTCATTAATATGTAGCCTATTATCTATCAGACTCCAAAAAAAGAAAGAACAGTGTGGAAGATGGCTTAAGACCAAAATGTTTTATATCTTCAATTTTTTGTTGGATGGTGTACACATACAACAAAGACAAATTAAAAGAAAAACACCATTCTTATCTAGTTTTCAAAGTAGTTGTTATTTATGAACACTCTTAGAAAGTCAAATTTTATTCTATCTTAATATTACAAAATCGACTTGTATGGTAGGTTTGCATCCACTTGTATCCTATAATTCAAACATTTGTAGGCAATAAAGGGTCACTAACACATCCCCTCACATGAACGTCTGAGCACCTTGATCATCGAAATACAAGGTGTAGGCTATTATGCCATATTAGAAAATAAACATTAAGTCTAACTTAACCTCACAAAATCAGTTCATAATAAGGGTGTTACACTCACTTATCTATTATAATGTGGTTGTATATTTAGTCAATGCGAGATTTTCAAAACAACTCCTCATGTCAAGGACTAAGTATCTTATAATTTTGTCATATTCTTATTAATGTGGAATTTCTAACATAAGTCTTCACAATATGAACTGAACATCTCAACCATGGGGGCTCATTAGGCTTAACAAACTTTTCTCAAATAGACTCTGATACCATTTTAAAATATTGACTTTAAGCTTCAAAAAATTGACTTGTAAGATGAGGTATACATCAACTTATATAGATACCATTTTAAAATATTGACTTTAAGCTTAAATAAATTTCAAAAAATTGACTTGTAAGATGAGGTATACATCAACTTATATATTATAATTTAACCATATTTCTAGTTAACAAGGGATCTTTAACAAACACTTTCCTATAGAACCACGACTTTCTCATTTAAAATTAGAATTTTATGTCATATAGGTGGGGATTTTTTGAGATCATTCACCTTCAAAATCCTTTAAGTGGCAATAAGTTGATTTTTTTATCAACAAAAAAAAACATAAAAAATAAGTGTACTTGAGCTACCCTAATTCATATGCAAACTTTATCTGCAAAATTAAAAGAAAAGGAAGATATCCTTAAATTCCTTAACAAAAACTACCTGCCAACAAACTAAGATGAAACATTGATCCTCATCTAAGAATCAAGGACAATATTTTCTTGGTGAGAGACAAAGGTAGTTAAGAAATATTAGAACAAATCACATCATATAGTGCTTAGAATGCAGTTGTCACATGAACAAAGTTAATATGAATTTCTGTCGGACTCAATGTTCTTTGTTGTGCTGTTACAACCATTGTTGAATTCAACCTTGCTTCCTTCTTCTTAAGCTTCTAACTCATTGTTTTATACACCAACTCCTAAACAACTCCATTAATGATTCGCATTTCTCCCTAGTCTATATCTATATAGAGAACAAAAACTCTAGACTATAATATCTAGGTGTTAATTCAAAAATTTCATAAGGAACTATGTTTGTTCATTCCTCATTCTTTTACCTGTTTTTCATTGACCAAGTTCTTTAATTATATTGTTCATGTTTGTTCCATCATCTCAAGGTTCCTTCTCTTCTTGCACCCTCTATCTACCAGTCTCCCACATAACGTTCAATTTTCTTCTTCTTATTGTATTCATTGTCAGCCTTGCATTTTACATTCTGGTATCATAAAATTCCTTTCTTATATATGGGATACATACACCTACCTGAAAATGAAAAATTTTCTTTGTGATTTTATTCTTCAACCATGCCCAAAATCTTAACTAAAATTTCCTCTACATCAAGATTAGCCTTCATAAAGATGATATTGTTCCTCTCAAGTTCCCTAGACTTCAAATGAAAACAATCCACACCTCTTCCATATCATATTCCATTTATAGTTGAGTTTCAATATAACTAAAGAAAAAGTGACTTATAGTTTCCTTTTGGACTCCACACAGAACACAAGCATCGTTGTTCAATAATACTCTTTTACGCCTAAGAATTGTTTTGTAGGCATTTGATATAGCATGACATGCAAAATATTATGTTGATGGGATGGTTTTTACTCTCCATAAACTATCAAATAATTTTGAATTTTCTCCATTACAAACTCCCTACAACTTTGTGTATGCCATTTTAACCGTATACACCTTATCTTCCGCCATCAACCCGCATCCAATATCATCTCGTCCCTTGTTAAACATTATCCTTTCAATGTCTTCTATAAGGCTTTTTCCATTCAAACCATTCTCTCTTCCAGCACATATCACATTCCCATATATTAACTTCCTATTTCACACATTTACTTATTTTTAGTTCTTATCCCCAAGCCATACATCTTCCCAAAACATTATCGTAGTTCCAACACCCACTTTCTAGGTCATACCCTCCTCAAACTAGGTTTTCTCTTCACTCGGTCCGCATCCACCACCGAAACTTCCACGACTCACTCTTTCTTTTATGCAACATTTATGCCAAGATATTTTAAGTGGAAATGGAATTTTTTTTCTTGGATTTCTGCAACACTTATGCCAAGATACTTGAATGGAACATTCATTAGTCCATAATTCAAACTGATGGAGCTTATTTGTAACTATCTCTCACCTACACCTACACCTTTTAAACTACTCTATTGGAAATTAGCCCTTAAACTTGTGGCAAGTTAAACACCTCAAAATAATTTTCACTACACCTATATTCTTAGCTCATGCCTTACATATGAACAATCTATCATCCACAAACTATAACATATTAATGTTAATTTCTTTTCTGCTTATTGTTATTCCTTCTAACATTTTATTCTTATTAGCTTGCCTAATTATACCTGAAAACTATTATGCCACTATTAGAAACAAGAAAGGTGTGGGTGGATCACCTTGTCTAAGTCCTTTTGCTGGAATAAACTCCTAAGTTGGATTATTGATAACAAGGACTAAAGTTGTAGAGGATTGAAGACAAGCTTTTATCAAACTAATAAACTTATAATAGAATATTAATTTTCCCACCATATAGTAGAAAGCAACCCATTTTCATTGAGTCACATGCTTTTCAAAATACAATTTGACTATTGTACATTGTTTTCTATTATATTACACTTCTTTAATTACTTCGTTAACAACTATAACACTATCAAGTGAACCTCTATGCTTAAGAAAGCATATTGTGTACCATCAATTATTTTAGTTAGAATCTTCTTAAGTTTGTTAGATAATATTTTAGATATTATCTTATATACACACCCAC